TAGGAATGATGGTGTCTTTCCAGATGTGCTCGTTCTATAGGCACTAATGTACCCTCATACAATCAGAGATGCAGCTTTTGAACTTGGACTTAATAAGCTGGATGTGGTCTCTCCCCTTTAGTTCAGAGATTCAGCGCTGGTGTTTTTCAAAAATAATTTAAAATTTTCTTTCATCTGACCACATAATAGTTTTCCTCTTTATCTCAGTGTATTTTAAATGAGATTTGGCCAAGGACCATATTGGATCATACTCACTTACAACTACGTCTTAGCATGTAGAATCTTTAACCTTCATTTGTGGATGGAGCTGAGCACAGTTCACCAACTGTGCTCACGACTAAGATTTCTGGAAGTGTTCCTGAGCCAGTGCAGTGATTTCCATGACCGATTCATGCCTGTTTTTAATGCAGTGCCACCCAAGAGCCTGAAGATCAGGCATCCAGTGTTGACTTTCGACTTTGTCCCGTGCGCACAGAGATTTCTTCACATTTGATAATGATATGAAATGAAAATGACGAGATATTCAAAGTCCTTGCAATGTTACATTGAATAGACATATTTATGAACTTTTTCCATAATTTCAATTTGCGTGTCTCCATAGTGTCGTGCTTTACACATTTACCTAACAAGCAAAAGATCCCTTAATCAGTCCCACGAGGAGACGCAACTCCCTTTGGGAAGGACATCTAGCATAAAAATCTGCCAACTCAAACATATGGAGCTACCTGCTGCATAGACCCCTTGTGAATAAGAAAGCAGCCAAAAGTAGCTCTACCATAATTTGTAGATGCAGATTGGTGAACCTCTGCAAATCTTTACATCTGAAAGTAAAGATGTATACACCCAGTCACATTACAGACTTAGACTTACTCAAAGTGTGCATTTTCACAGCTTGAACATTTGATGTTTTCTATGCTCTTCTGTGAAGAAAATCTGGGTTTGTGAGATTTTTCAAATCAACTGCGTCCCAAATTTTTTACCCCTCAGCCCTAAAGAGCTGGCATGGTTGGTGTGGAAACCTGAGTTTGTCAATGTGATAACTCAAGAACGAGGCAACGTAGGAGCTTCAAATTGAAAAAATCATGGATGAGTTTGAATCTCAGTGAAGTCGATCTCAAGGTTAGGGTCAAAGGTAAAGTTTTATGCAAACAACTCTAGAAGGAAGTCAACCAGGATTTTCAAATTGATACCATAGACACAACTATTAAAAATCTCAGAGGAATTTGGATCTCAGTAACCTCAAGATCAGAGTAAGTAAGTCTGAAAATCTTGTGATAACTTGAGAATAAGGTGACCTAGGACTAAGTGTCTCGACTAGGAGACGGAGTGGAAGCACTGGGGGTTGCCAGCATTTCTGGAACTGGCATTAACCAAAGCCTCTAAACTAGATTTGTTTAAAGTAGCAGGAACACAGTGAAGTGAAAGTGAGTCACTCAGTAAATCTGAACCTGAAATGCAAGTAAAGGTTTCTAATGAGTGCCAGTGATCATTTAGTAATCATTTATGCATTATTGTAGGGATTTTTTTTTTTACCAAATAACATAAAGCACAATAGGAAGACTGTTGTTAGAAAGAGTATTTCTGCTTTTCTTCTGGTCCTGCAGAGCAGACTTTTTGTTGTTGCACAATTAGTGCTGTAGCAAAGTTATCCCAGTTTAGTGCTTTAGTGGAAACTAGGCTATTAACCAGAGTTGAACTCCACTAAGGATCATTCAGGAGCACTGGGGGTCACATCTGGAGCAGGAGTGCTGTGGCTGACTGCTCCTTAATTGATTGCAGAATGGATTTCGCACATTTTGTCTCCTCCGCTGGGATAGCTAGATGGTGACTGTGACTTTGGACTTTGCTGGAGCAGATTGCACTGATCTCTGTTCTGTTCTGACACCCAGCACTTAAATCCCCTGCGTGTGCATCAGTTTGAGTTTATATGTATGTTAGTGGGCGTGTTAGCATGTGAGAAAGGATACAGGGAGACTCTCAGATCTTCAGTTTGGAGACAAATTTTTGTCGGGGGCTTGATAGAGTAGAGTTTATTGTTGCCTCCAATCAGCTGCCTTAGCAGAGGTATCCATGGCAACTGAAAGAGTAAAAGTAAGGTTTGAGGTCTCCAGAGGATTTGGAAGAGACAGAGAGAAGGACTTTGTATTTCCATGTAAGCACTCATTTCAAGAGCTGAATATGACAGAAGGGATATGAAAGTAGAAAAGTAGAGTGGTCGCGGTGCGAGCGATCTGAGGAGAGATAAACACGCAGCCCACAAATGCATAATGTAAGATCACTCAAACACTCCTCCATGCTCCCACATTGACAATGTGTCAGTGTTTATGTAGGAAGTATAATATATATGCTCCATAAAATTACACTTCAACACTTCAGCAAGGCGCAAGCTGGAACTTGTCTTCTAGGGTAAAACAGGGATCTGCCTCCTCCTCTTCCTTTGTTATTTAAAAATGCAAGTGATGCAAATGCAAAAGCATCGCCAGGCACGGGAAAATTCAAACCTCAGAGTTCCTTTTGCAAGAGGTGTTGTGTTTTACCGCTTCATCTGCAAACTGAACATTATGTCGATATTAAGATTGCTTTTTTTTTTTCTCATTTTCTTTTGGGTTTTTTTGACAGGAGACTATATACTGCGTGGGTGTAGTGCTGGTAAGGTTAGCCAGTGTGTTTGCATATGTTTGCTTCTTTTACTTTCTTTGCTTTTTTTGGAAAATGCAAAGTGAGCAGGAAGTATTTACTTTTTTTAGAACAAGCGTCGACCACTGGGAGTTTTTTTATGAATCATGTATTTATATGTTGTGTTGTGTATCGTGGACTGTGAAGTGATAAACAGGCGGCTCGCGGGTGATCAGGCACCACTTCAGCTTCGAAAGCAAATGCAAAAATGTGACCCTGTTGGATAAAATGGAGCAAATATAACCACTAAGACGCTATTAGTAAACAAATGAAACAAAATGACTGATCTGTTTTTACACTGTCTTGTGATTGGCTGACCACAGCGGATGGTAGAGATCCGTTATAACGTACAACACACGAATACAGTGTAAAGAAGCAGAAAACGTGCGATAATACTGGCATTTTTGGGGGGTTTTGCTTCGCGTGGTAATCTTACAGGCGGCAAAGACAAAGATATCCTTTTACTGAGGACTGCAGTGCAGACTGACAGTAGACAACAGGCTGCCCTCAAGCCGTAACAAGTACAGACAGGCAGAACTGAACAAGAGGTAACAGGCTTAGACGACTCGGCTGATGATCTGGGAGAAAATAAGTAATGGCTTTTCCTTGATACGGCTGAGGAGCTGCTGCAGTGACAGATGAAGGGATATGTGAGGTCGAGACTCTGTAGTGACAGCTGTTGGATGGGTACAGAGAGGGAATGCTGGAGACATTCCCATTCTGTATAAACTCATAGGTATCAAGTCTGTGTGTATACATTTTTTTTAATGTACATTGGTTTATTGTCAAAAGGAGGAACAAATGACAAAGGCATTTGTTCCATTTGTATTATTTGGTACACCTTGGTAGTACTGGGTTGGCCCTCCTTTTGCCTTCATATCTGCCTTAATACATTGACATGATAGTGATGATAGTGCAGGTTGGGTGAGCCCAAGCAAACTGCAGTCTCAGTTTCCTGTTCCTAGCTGACAGGAATGGCACCCAGTGTGGCCTTCTGCTGCTGTAGCCCATCTGCATCAAGGTTCTGCATTCCTTGCAATGAGTGGTTATTTGATTTACTGTTGCAGCTTCTGAAACACTTTGACCAGCCCGTCTGGAACCAACAGCAATGCCATGTTCAAAGTCACATGGTAACAAAGAGAGAGAGAGAGGGAAACAGTGGCGCGACTATAAGAATAATAAAATCAAGACAGAAATAAAATAAAAAACACCACATCATAAAACTGAAACTTATCATCACACAGGACCCAGGAGCTCAATAATGAAGTCTGAGAAAGTCTGAGGAAGAGGCAGTAAAATCCTTTAATGGGAGCTGTTAATGTGCAGATCAATCTATTATCATATCATCAGGACTTTCTGGCCTTTATTTAATTTTATTGAGAGCAAAGATCTGTTTACGGCGTTTCTTTTCACACCATTTTTCTTTATTTGGCTTTGTGCAGTTAAGTGTTTTCACTTTGAAACAGGAATCAGTATCCCTGCACTGCTGTTCCAAGTAGACTGGTGTCTATAATAGATTATATCTTAATACTAAAGTTACATCGTCAAATGGTACAGAGTGGTCTGGCATGAACTATGAATAGGCTTTCACATACTACCTAACATGAGGCAAAGAACAGAAGCAGTGGAGTTGAAGACTAAACTGCTACCCTGCTAATATAATTTCTTTCTTTACCTGAAAGAACCACCATATCACACTGTGCTCGTTCCCCAGAGAACTCGTAATAGTCGCACGCACATTGCCACCTTTAATTAATGCACAGTAATCATCCCACTCAATATGGTTACCAATATGTAAAAGAGCCAAATATGACTCTGCTGTGTAGTAAAGGCAAGGTCATGTGTGAGACTGAGCAGCAGCAGGACTCTCTCTTCTCTGTTTCTGCTCGCTTTAACACGACGGAATTCAAGTCTTTGGTTGTCCATTGACAACTAATTAATCAAAATCAAAGGGAGACAAATCCCATAAACACACACGAGCTGTGAGCGCGGGTCCATAGGTGAGAGAGAGACAAGCAGAGGGGGAGAAAAGGAGATTAAGGAAGGATTCTCCCCAGACGTCTTCTTCCCACTTTCTTCTGGTAGAAGTCATTAGGATTCATACCCCTGATCCTTTACTCTGTGCGGCTCCTCCGCTGCTCGCGCCGTGCATCTCTAGCAAGCAAAAAAAAATAAAAACTAGACAGAACCTGGACGCCCACGCCAGAATTAAAATGGTGATGCAGCACTTGTTTTCTGTCAACAAGAGTGAACATACTGAAAAAGAGAGCGAGAAAGAGAGAGTGAGATAGCACAAGAAGAAGAGGGAGAGAGCGAGAGAGTTCGGGGCTGACTGCTGGTTGGTATTCCTGAGGCTTAGCCAGAGAGGCTGATGGTGCAGAGTGGACATCAACAAGGAATTTCAATGTGGATGCAATGGCTTGCAGTTTTCAAACCTTTTATTGTAGTGTCTACAAACGACACACTGAAGTGGTTAACATTAAACCACATGAGATCGTCCCTCATTACCTCATCAGCATAAAATATCATTTTAACACATTAATTGGACTTCACATTGTGTATTTTCCTGTTATACAGCAAGTTTTATAAGACGACGAGGCAAATGTGTTTTTTAGTCAGTGCAGCTGTTTTGTTTGGTTTTTTCAAATCTACTTTTTTGGGCACAGACGAGTCGCCCTGTAGTCAAGAGGAGGCGAGCACTTCTGCAGCTGTTATTGTTTCAATTGATTTTGATCTTCATTTTCCTGTCCTGTTAAGAAAGCGATTTGCAGTATGAGTATTTCACCAATTTATGTACAAAAATCAGTTAGGCAGATGAACTTATGATTGGGATTTACGAGAGTTAAGATGAAAGAATCAGCGTTCGGGGCTGAGCCTCCAGCACACGGCACAGTCTCAGCCCCAACGTCGGCCAGGCAGCAATAAGCATCTGGATCCAGCCTCCCTCCTTTCTCAAGGGGGAAACCTAGCTCTCCCTAAACCCAACCAATTCACTCAATAAACAGCTGGATTATTACATAAGACACGGCGAGGGCTTAATAGCCCCAAGTTCTTTGAAAAACCTGAAAAAAAAAAAAAAAGAGAGAAAAGATTAGGCAGACTTCTAATTTGCTCATGCAGTTTGGAGTTCAACAGTCATTGACAATCGTGCGGCCATGTTCATTCATCTACCGGGGCCAAAGAGCTTCAAGGCTGTCAAGCCCCGGCTCAACAATTTTCAATTCCTTAATAATTTATTGATGGCGGGCAGTCAAATTGCATATCAATAATGTACAAGGGCTCAGTACAATGTTGATACGAAATACCCTTTCAGCTGGGCTCATTCATGCTCACAGACCTGCAGACATATACCGTGTTTAGTCCCACGTGGTCCGGCGCTGGCACGTTGCATGAATACAATCTGTTTCTGTGAGCTGTGTAAGTCTAGTTGATGATAGAGCATCTAAAAAAAAAAAAGGCCTCTCATGTTTTCATGTTTCAGGATAAAACCTCAGAGGAGGAGGAGAAGAAGAATTAAGCTTTTCATGTGGGGGCTGGGACAGAATAGCAGATCAACTACAAAGACACTGATATGAAGAACAATGACAAAGCAATCGCTGTGTAAAGTGATACAAGTGTGATGCTGTAATAATATACATTCTTTATATTGTTGCACGCTCTTTCTCTCCATACATGCAGAAAGAAAGTTTGCACGCGTGCATTTCCCCGACGCTTGTCTTGGTCTTCGATTGGGCAGCTATACTGTGGGTTTGGGCATGAGCCAATCACGCGTGTAGGACAAATTAAGTGACCAATGGCGGATTTCCATCTAGGTCAGCATCTTTTATTCAGGAGTCATGCGTACACAGTTACATGCCATCCCGCCCTGGGGGCCCTGCGGAGACCCACTCTGCCATAGAGAGATGGTCCACCATTTTGTTCTGTTTTGAAAATGATCTCCATGCATGAGATTAGCTGGGGGGCCCGCGAGCTCTTCCCTTTGTTGTGCATCCCAGTTTGGATTTTCCCGGTTGGTGTCTGTGCGAGTGTGCTGGGAGTGTGCACGTGCAGGGCGTGCATCCGTGGCGGCGAGCTGCATCTGTGCATGAGCGTGCATATTGCCTGTGTGTCTAAGAATGTGTTTAATGGGGGATTTTGCTCTGAGCAGAGGAAAATGCAATCCTGATGGAGACATCCGATGCCCCACTCAGTGGTCTGCTGCTGAGCTCAAAGCACATCTCCGGCTTTGGCCTTTATAGCAATTCACACTTTTTCATTCATACCTCTACATGTACAGCAGGTATCTATGCCTCTTTGCACGAGGAAGGGTCATGGACTAAACATTTATGAAGGTCATTTCTTAAACTGTGCCTGACACTGCACTGCTGCTCCCAGCATCTACGCCTTTGTAGGAGGCTTTGTGCCTTGGACGCATCGGCTGGTGTGTTGTTTTACATAGCTTTAAAAAAACAACAACAAAAAAAACAACACCTTTACCGTATGAAAAATAATGTATACAAGTGGCTACAAAAGTATGTAAAGTTGGTTTTAAAGCTGATGTTGCCACTGCACCAAAATGTAAAAAGCTGTCTCTCTCAGCCGTTGGTTTCCCTCCACAGACTTAAAGCAGCAACAAAGCAACTAGACAGAGAGACGGAGAGTGAGAGATAGAGAGGGAGAGAGACTGGGGTATGTGGTTGCTATAGTAACCATCTGGTGGGTCTGAACTGTTTCTCCCTGGCATTCATTTCATCATATCGAGCCCCTGTCTCTCTCCGCTCTCTCTCTCTCTCTGTACGTCTACTCTCACTTTTGTTTATCCCTCTCTTTTTTCCCCTCCATCTCTCTTATCTCCTGATTCCCATCTCGTGCCGCTCTCCCACTCTTTCCAAGCTGCCTGGCTTCCTCCTCCTCCCCTTTTCTCCTCCGGTTCTCCTCACTTTTGTTGCAAAGCAGTCGGAGATGGAGAATGTTTAATGTTAAATGCGCAGTGGTCATTCCATCTCTGTCCTTTTGGCTGTCCGTCCATTTTTTAATCACCCTGCCCTGACAGACCCATCTGTTAATCCTGGACCTTTTCAAAAAAAAGAAAAAGAAAAAGAAAAAAAAAAGGGGGGGGGGGGGGAGAACTCAATTCGTACAGCCAGAAGAGCTGAGCAGAAGCTGGACTGATATCTAAGCGCAAACTTGCTTGAACGATTGACGTCATCTGTAATCACGATTTAGATGCAACCAAAGCGTGTTTTTACCATCATATCATTGAGGAGAGTTGCTTTTTTGGATAGATCTCTTTAAAAATGTGACGTGTAACTCCACTCGGGAGCAAACAGAATATTCTGGAGTGGTCTAAAGGGATATTTATTTTATTTTTCCAACCAGAGCTGCCTGCATTTCCCCCCTTTTCCTTCTTATCAGCAGTTGTCCTTGTGATTTCCCAGCAGAGTCTCAATCAGCAAGAATACCTGATCCCAATGCCCACTGATATTTTTTGCGTCCACACACACACACACACACACAC